ATAACTTGTTTTTTTTTGGTGTTCTGGCTGTTGGAACTATTTGTGAGGTTGTTGTCTGGAACTGACAGTGCTGTCTTGGGATAGGTAGAAACTGTTACCTTAAGTCTGTTAGAATTCAGGACAATTTAGATTGTCATTTGTGGTAGATCAACTAATGTATAGGTTTGCATCTTGAACATTGCCTTGTTGATTTTCAAAAACAAATATTATTAACACTAATTGTTGTTCAGAGTTTGTTAACCTCTCATTTGAGTCTTAAGAACCTTGATTGTTTGGGTGTGTGCCTTGTTGAAATTCAAGTTCAAGAATATTGGTGTTGTTGGAATTATGTTGGGACTGTCCATTTTTGTTTGAGAGGTTTAAGTGGACATTTGAGTTGATGACTGTCATGAGGGTCTTGGAGCTGTTTGGTGCAGTCAACTTCCTGTTTGAGTTAATACTTTGGTTTACATCAAGGCTGTTAGGCTCATCATTAGCAGGTTGGTTAAGGACGGTAAATTCAGTGGACTCTTTATTAGTATACCTTGTTGAAGAGTAGGATCAGGTCTGGACCTGATAGGATTTGGTTGGGTTTAGGTTCAGCTTTTTTGGCTGTCTTTTTCTGAATATTGTTAACTTCTGGTCCATGAACTTTTTGTTTCATTGTGGACTGTTCTGATTTTGGTTGAGGGAAGACCATGTTTTTAGTATGTGGGTGGTTTAGTGTAGGGGCTGTGACTGTCAGATGAACTGCAGCTTAAGCCATGCTTACTACATGCCACTTTGATCTAGTTGGAGTGTGCAAGCACAGCTAGGGGATATAGGCTTTGTCATGTTGAGATCACCTTTGGTTATCAAGATCTGTTTTGGAGGGTTGAATCTGCTAACTCACTACTGGCTGTTTAGATTCTTTGATATCACTAGGATGTGATCCTACATTTCGTCAAAGCTTGTGTTTACTTTTGGATTGGTGGCTGCCATTTTAGAATGTAACTTGGATTTTGATGGTTGAGGGTTGTCACTGTTGGATTTATTAGAACAGACTCATTTTCAATTATGGACCTACTGCACTTTTGTTATGCATGCTGCTGTTCACTTTGCTCTTAGGTTGTTTGGTTTGGATCCTCATCAATTTGTTTTAATACCTCTAGGAGCCTACTGCAGGTTTGACTCTTTTGATTTGGTCTGAGTAGTTGTGTGCTTTTTACCTTTACTTTGGGGTGGCTGTATAGCCAATAGTGTTAGGATTGGTGATGTTGTTGTCAACTCTTTACCTTGAGTTAACAACCTTTGCCGTCTTTGAGTTGTGTTTGCCATGTTAAGATAATGTCCATTTGTTGTTCAAACTTGGTCTTCATGCTAAATTGATTGTGCTCACATCATGTTCATCCCTTGCAACTCACATCATGTTGTTGACCCGAACTTGTAACCTTTTCTTCTTCTTTATTTTTCGAAACGTGGATGTTGGAAAGATGTACTTACCATAGAAAAAAAAAGAATCATAGAATTCTAAGCCAAAGATAAAAGAAATAGTTTTGATATGGATTGGATATTGATTTATGGATGAGATATAAAAAGTGGTGCATGGTTATGAAAAGAGTGGATAAGAATATTGAAAGTGTAGATAATGGTTATTTGTTATTTGCACCCTTAAGAACCTGGTGCTACTTGAAATAATATTTGATCCATGGTTGTCACCCTTAGTCTTCAATTAAATTAAGTCAATCATATAAGACCTCATAAACCCTTTGACAAAAATTCACACAATCCTTTGGACAAACATAAGCACTACACCTTGAGGAAATCCTGGAAATAACCCCCCTTATCAAATGTTTTGCAATGAAAAGCATGGTCAATCCTTAATTGATCGCGTTCAACACCAACTAAAGGGAAAAAAACCTAATCCCTTTTGGTATGCCCGAGAACTTATGAGAAAATTGAGGGAAGTGACCTTTGATCCTTGGTAAGAAGATGCTCAGCCTAGTTTCACTAGTTAATTTGATCTTTAATGAAACAAAAAAAACAAGCTAGTAGAAAGTCTTAGAGTTCTTTAAATCATAAGGGTTATGCCTTGAATGTCCGGTTGTGAGAATGAGTATTATTTCCACCTGAAATTGCTATACATGCACTAGTTAGTCACAATAAATATACACACAAAACACGCAAGACGATGTACGACGTGGTGGGATCTTAAGGGAAGAAATTAGGGTGCTACAGAGGCCCTCTCCAAAATCACGACATTTAACATACTTCAATTTTACAAAAGAAACATCCTCGCACGATTCGGTGTACCCCAGGCTCTCGTGACCAACAATGGGACACAGTTCACTGACAGAAAATTTCAAGATTTTGTTGCCAAACTAGGTACCAAACAACATTTCACATTCGTCGAACACCCCCAGACCAACAGACAGGCAGAAGCCGCGAACAAGGTAATCCTCTGCGGACTAAAACGAAGGTTAGGCGAGGCAAAAAAAAAAGGTGGGTCAAGGAGCTACACAGTGTGCTCTGGGCATACAGAACAACTCCACATTTCACCACTGGGGAAACTCATTTTTGACTAGCGTACAAAACCGAGGCAGTAATCCCAGTAGAAACCAGAGAACCCTCGAGGCGGACAGGGGTCCCCTTTAACTACTGAACGACGAAGAAAAATAAGAAAACTTCAAAAATTCATAACTTGAGTTCTGAGTATCCGATTAAGGTGTTGTTTGAAGCGTTAGGAAGCCAACGCAATGAACTTTCTTTTAAAAATAGTTCTAGTATCTAAAATTAATTTAAATGTTTCATGATGGTGTTGGATGATGTGTGTTGTAGTGTGTTGTAGTGTGGAACATGCAATAGGCGTATTCGAAGTTGTTCGCATCAGGTAAAATTTCGAGGACGAAAATATTCTAAGCGTGGGAGAGTTGTAACATCCTGATTTATTAAATTAGTTTTCGTAAATAATTATATGATTGTGTGTGTGTTTGTTTAGAGGGTCCCTTAGTTGGAGAATAGTGACCTTTGAAATGTTGGGTTTAAGGTATTTGAGGTGTTTTAGTAAAATTGTAGTGATTTAGGGGTGGTAAGAGTAAAGCTAATTAATTAATAGTAGTGAATGTTTATTTGACTAAATAATATTAGGTGGATATTGTTTAAAATAACTATTAGTGAAATTATTATTATTATTTTATTTAGTTGGAATAAAATAGTAATTAGGAATTATAATATAATATTAAAATAAAAAAAGAAGGAAAAGAAGAGAAATAGGAAGAATTGTCAGATACGTGAATTGAGAAGAGAAAGAAAAAAGTAAGAAGAGTTAAGGCATTGAGGAAGAAGAAAAAGAGGAATTCATTAGAGAAGTTTTGAACCATCAATCTAACTTAAGGGTGAGATTTCCTTTCGTATAGGGTTTCACATGATAACATGTGGGTGGGTGTCCTAATGTCTCTAAATTTTTTATTTTGTTCTCTATGTTGTGAGCAAATATCTAATTAGATTAGATTTTGCTTAAGAAAATTGTCAAACTAACTTACAGGGGGAAACCAAAGATCTGATTAGATTTTGGTTTCATCATAGGTTCAAAAGCTGCTGCTTCTTTACGTAGTCAATTGCAGAAAACGATCGAATTGTAGGTTTAAGAAAACCCTGAAATAAAACTAAAAAAATATAGTAACATTTTGTTCTTATATAATCTTCTTCAACCACTTCAAACCAAAAAACAATCTCCAGCCATCATCCATTCCAAAGAAGTGGGTTCAATGAATAAAAACAAGTGTGAAGTGATATGACAATGAACTTCTTATTAAACATGATTCTTAAAGCATTCATTAAATTATTAATAATATTTACACCTTTATGCGAAAAGGAGTACCTAGTTACCCATTAAATTATTAATAATATTTACACCTTTATGCGAAAAGGAGTACCTAGTTACACAAGGACTCTGGATAGATTCATCTCTGTTAATGTTGAAGTGAAATTGTTTCATATTGGATAGATTCATCTCTGTTAATGTGGAAGTGAAATTGTTTCATATAGAATGTTAGGCATATATTTTTAGAGTGTTCACTAACCTGGAATAGACATGCACGACTAATATAGCACAAGCTTTTTGAGAATACACCATAAACAAATTTTATGTAGGTTTGAAGTCAGAGATATAGTTTAAAACTATGATTACTCTTGTTAAATATGAATCTTACTCGATATGTTGAGGTTTAAGTGAGAAGTGTTTGACACTACTTCTAAAATCATTTTTTAAATTCAAATGGAAGATTGATGAAACGATTAATGTTAGAACATTTGTTCAAGCAAGTGTCAATGTTTCAACGTTGTTAATGAATTGAAAAAACTCTTTTAAGTTTCACATTGGACAATTTTCACTTGTTTGAAGGGTTTATTTAGTTGAGAAGGTCAACAAAGGATACAAAGAATTTAAAAACATAATGTGTGGTGTCAATAATTAATACCATGCGTGGTTCATCCGACTAGCTCAGTTTGGGATAGGTTTGGGCCTGTGACTCGACTTGGTATATATATATATATATATTAGAAAGTGTGATCTTTTAAACACAAAATTAAATTTAAAATTGACATGTCATTTGTTACTGTAAGCATCGAAACATCTAAGATTAAACCTAGGGTTTAAGAGAGTTGTGTAATGAACTTGTTAACAGACGCTTTCTACATGTTAAGTGGATATTCATCATCCTGGTTCTACTGGAGTTTAAAAATTGATAAGCAGAGTAAGAATGAGATCCAATCTGAACAAGGAGATAAGTCCTTATAGCCAAAGACATGATATGCAAGTAAACAAAGTATGCAATAAAGTTTCAATTATATCTTTCTCCATAAAGTATGATATCGGTGAACTATAGACTACTCAGTGCATACAACATACTATCATTTGTAAGGTGATTCAGCAACTTGATTGCCAAATTTTAATTAGAAAGATTCCCCGTGACTCCAACATTTGTGTTCATTATTATACTAATGATATAATCACTTCATCAACTATTTTATCACCTATATGTTTAACCACCATGCAATGTTGATATAAAGACCACCACGTCTTTCTCTTCCAGTGATGTATTCAGCTGACCACTTAGCTCCCAATCACAATCGTTCACAAGGACGAGAACTCCAGGTCTCCTGTAACACAAATCACGGACAGGAAACAAAAGTTCAGCATCCATCTAAAAATAAGCTTATTCTAGAAAACAACTTTTAATTAATTATGCATGATTCAGATATATGTATATCGTCAAGCTTACACAGTATCTCCTTTTATGAACATTTCAGGTCTCTCCTTAATCAAGTTGGTTTGCACCCAAGAAAGCAATTCTCTCATGGTTAACTGAAAGTATGAAGAGAATAGTATAAGAATGTCAAACATAGGAAGTGTTATGAAAAAAACAATAACCCAATAATTTTGAAGTCATATGCTACCTTGTCTTCTCCATTTTGTGGTTCAAATTCAACATTGACATGGTGAATCTTCTTGGAGTTACAGAGAAGCTCCAAACCCCCTCTGCATGTTTCAATCATTTTAACAAACCAGACAAAAGTTAAATTTCTAATTTAGATATATAGAACTACACAAAACAAAATGGTTATTTCAGGCTAAAGTACAAAGAGATTGAATGAACATCAGTTTAGACTTTAGAGATCACCCACCTAAGCAAACAAATAAGATAAAGTAGTAGAATCTATATTTAAAGTAACTGGGTAATTTAAGCACAGTAGTAATCTCAACAATATCGGATTGAGATATCAGTATGCCTAGCAATACAACAGAGTTTTAGGTTTGAATTGCTCTTTCGAGTCAACCAAAACACAAAAGCCAGTATACAGAGAAAATGATAAATAATTATCCACTAAACTCAAACTAGACTGACTAATTTGGCCAAATGAGCTGATAAACCAAATGCGTAATCGGTTAAAATAACATGTCAAACCAGTTACATCAAGGAACTTGTGAAACCAAATCTGACTTGTTCAGTTTTTCCACCAAAAGACTCGGTAAGGTTTACACAGGCCAAACCATGAACTTAAAAAAAAGTTTGCCTATAATAAAAGGGAAGAAAAAAGGTACAAAGCTCATGAAAGGTAAAGGGTAAAGCAAATAGTTAAAGGATGTACAATAAGGGCAATCCTTAATTTTCGAATGATTCTAGACCCTATTGAAAGAGCCAAAAGATTTTATAATGATTTTGATGTGTTTAGTTCTTTTAAAGTAGAATTGATTCTACCTCCATAATTGATTCTACTTGAAATTAGAATTTGTAGCTTTTGCATAAAATTATCCAAACATAAATCACTACATATTCAACTCACTTTTAACCAGAATCAATTTTACATAATCAATTCACTCAAAATCAAATTTTTTCACCGCAAAACCAAACATATGCGTGTACACAACGAATGCGTGTACACGAATTGAACTACAAAAACTCAAACCTTAATCTGCCAAGGCTCTTAAATTGTCTGATCACATTACCAGGCTCTTCCCAAAACAAAAATTGTTCTGGAAAGACGAAATTGCCATCTAACCTTTCATCCTAAAGCATGTATCTATTGAAGTTTTCAGCTTTTAGTCTCATCAAAAGCATATTCTAAAAATTTCATCTTTTTATTGAATTAGTAAGTTATGTATGATAAATATGAGGCATAAAATAAGAAAATATGAGAGAAACATATAAAACATAACAAGTACAAATTGAAGAAACGCTACGAGCAGAGAATTGTAATAACAGAACTAACATATACATACCCGAACTCAATTGTCAGCTGCATCTTGAATAATGGAGTTTAGTGAGTGAATCCGCAAGTTATGGTGTTCCTGCGACGGTGACTACAGCACAGAGTCTGCTCCGATTGGGTGCGACGGTGACTACAGCAGAGAGTGCGCTCCGATTGGGTGCGACGGCGAGAGGGGAGTTCTTCCACGATCGCGGTGAGCTAGGGTTTTATGCTCTGTTTGCCTTTCTTTCGAAAAACATAGCTTGAAACGATGTCGTTTTCTGAATATTTTTGTTAATTTGTAAAACATAAAAATTTAAGCTTTCTTTTAATTGTGTGTTTTTATTTTCTAAAATTATTTTACAAATTTTTTTTTCATTATCATTATTTGATTTATTGAATCGATTAATCTGATTCGGAGTCAATTTTGATATTAAATAGTTTCTAACTCGTTTCAATAGCAATATATAGGATATCGAACCGTAATCATTTATATCAAGTCTAACAACAATTATTCCTTAACAGACTAATGTTTAAACAAATTAAACTTTTAAAACCGATTTAAAATAAATAAATAATCATAGTAAAATTAAACCTTGCCAAATCTTTTGAGCAACTCCAACAATGAAAAGTTTTATATTAACATTTCATTCATAGAAGCTCTATCTCTCATGCCTTCTTATGCCAAAATTTTAAAGAAAATTCTATCTAATAAATAAAAATTGAAGGATAATAAAACAGTGGCATTGTCATAAGAGTGCAAAGCCTTTATCCAAAATAAATTAATGCCTAAGCTTAAGGATCTAAAATGTTTTTCCATTTCTTGTGTTATTAGAACAATGATCTTCGATAGGGTTTTATGTGATACAGAGGTCAGTGTAAGATTGATTCCCTTTTTAATCGGTAAGAAACTTAACCTCGACAAAATAAAAGCCATAAACATATTCATACAATTAGTTGATCGGTCATTAATTTATTCAATAAAAATTTGTACTTATATAAATAAAACGATTATTTATACCTACTAACTTCATAATAAAAACGAAAGATGATTCATAAATCCTCATTCTTTTGGAGAGACCTTTGTTATAATGAAAAACTCTCATTGTTGGAGGAACTATAGATGTTAAGTGGGAAAAATTTGCAAGAAGCACCTATTTGATTGAAAGGTACAAGTAGTTTAGCTAATGTGCATAAAGAATCACTACATGGGAGACAACCTACATTTTTTTTTAAATTCTAATACTTTTTTTATAGGAAGCTCACGAAAATAAAAGATATATAAATTAATAAATGCATATAAATAATGAAAGCTCGAGATAAAAAATAGTCTTTGTAGAAGAATTGGATTAAAAAAAACCTTAAATATAATGCATCACAGACTAACAAAACAACACATTTTTCCCAAAAACCAAAGCACATTATGCCTGGATCATATAATGACCATTAAGGATCTATGTTCTTAATGATTAATATGATACAACATAGTATGTCAAATTACATCATGTGAAATCTTCATATATTTAATGTAAATATTTTGAATTTTGAATTTTTCACTACTAAATTTTTTCCATCATCATATAATGTCATGCAATTCTATTAATCCACATAGATTGATCCACTCATTAAATCATTATATATATATATATATATATATATATATATATATATATATATATATATATATATATATATATATATATATATATATATATATATATATATATATATATATATATATATATATATATATATATATATATATATATATATATATATATATATATATATATATATATATATATATATATATATATATATATATATATATATATATATATATATATATATATATATATATATATATATATATATATATATATATATTATTTATTATTATTCTCATACAATGAATTAGAAAAACCAAAAAATCATATTAATCTTTCAAGTCAACCTTGATAAATTTAATTCTCTTTCTTTTCTTGTGAGTATATCCTCCTCGATCAAAAACAATACATGCATGTCATTGATTATTGACAAAAACATAATAGCATAAAAAATCGACCAACACTTTAACATTATGAACGATTGTGGTTCTGAATTAACTTTTTATGTACTAAGAATAATTGCGATTTAATCTCTTAATATAACTAATCAACGATTTTTATCACTCGTTTTAAAAATCTATGATTAAAGGTGAAAATAAATTAGATAGAGTTAGGCATTAAAAAGAATTCAAATCTAACCTAGTCCAAAACTCATGACATATGCCTAATCTACATTATATCGTATCCTTAGGTTTTGAATCTTCCTTTTTGAGAAACAAGACATGATGTGTTAATTTACTTTTAAATCCAATGTGTTTCATATATGCGTATTTAAATAAATATTCTAACAAGTTTTTGAAGGAGTTGCTTGTAGATACAATGCCAAGCTTTGAATTGAGGATTGTTTTGTTTGGAAACCGGATTGTCACGAAAAATTTTCAGTTAATACATGTTACAATTCTTTGTTACTTCATTTTGTTGTGAAGGAATATGAGGTTATTTCCAAAGCTGCTTTGGAAGTCATATGGTCTACTAAAGTTCCTTTGAAAGTTGGTGTCTTTGGTTGGAGGGTAGTTTGGGATAGGCTACCTACGCGAGCTAACCTCGCGGTCAAGGAAATAATCTACAATCCTCGTGATTTTGTTTATGTGTTTTGCTTAGTTGGTGAAGGATATCAATCACATCTTGTGTATGTGTTTGTATATTGTCATGGTGTGGAGAAATATTGCGGATTGGGTAGGAATTCCCTGGTTGGAAGAGGTGAATGTGTGTGACCACTTGTTTTCTTGGTTCTTGAAAGTAGTGAAGAGAACTTCCAAATCATCAGCTTGCTTTATGTGGATCGTAACATGTTGCTCAATATGGTAGATTAGGAATCAGATCATTTTCAATGATAAGGTTGATAATCTTAAAGATATTCCAATGAGGGTGAAGCAAACTTCTTGGACTTGGTTAAAGTTTAGGTTTAAAACTAAGCCTAAGTGTAACTTCTATAATTGGTGCAAACCTTATCTTAATTTTTTGTGATTTGGAGTTCTTGTGTCTTTTGTGCATCTTCTTGTATTTTGTGTGTCTTAATATGATCCTTGTACATGGATTGATATACTCCTAATATACATTTTATATGAATTTATTGCTTATAAAAGGAACAAGTATTTGAGTAAACTAGCGAATTAATTTACAAATTAAATTAAATTTCATTTCGGTACTTATCACATAGTATTAAAAATTGTGACTGTTGTGTAAATGGTAAAGTGACTCGGATAATAATAACTTAAGATATAAATAAATATTAAAATATCTAAAGTACAATAAACAAATTTTAAAGAATACTTATAATATATCTTTGAATCAACTATATATATCACGAGAGTGATGCAATTGTCATTATGATTTTGGAGCCTCGATATGTAATTAGGGTTAAAAGTCACAAGACTTTTCTTCATGCTGGAGAAAAGGGATAATCCTCCCAATTTTCTTTACAAATTAAACAATTTTTAAAAGATGACTAAAAAATGGTCTCCCTCTTTATTAAATATTATATTTTCTTTAGCCTTAGATGAAGGCAATATTAACAAAAAAAAAAAAAAAGTATGAATATTTTGCTATCACATTAGTGGATCTTAACCTTTTAGATATTTTAGCAATATTTCTTTTGATGGAAATGGAAGAACATGTCTTTATTATTGAATTACAATAAAAGAAAACCTATTTGTTTTGCAAAACTTGTCAATTAATTGGTCTTTATTTAAGATGAGAATAAAAAATGAGTTGCTAATAATTTCTTTATAAAAAGTAAGGAAAATGTTCCTTTTATTTTTGGTGGTGCCTCCTACATTTTTGAAAATTCGAAAATGTGATGCATCTTCAGATGCACCTAAAAGTATACTAAAATACGTTTTTCTGAGATTCGCCTTAGTTTTTTAAAAAATGGTTTGGAGATGCATCTCTCTATACTATTTGGGTGTATCCGGATATGCATCTTTGAAATATCTCATCCACTTGTTTATATGGTTTTGTTATTCACACAACTGGTTTAAATAACAAGTCAGTGATATTTTTAGAGATGCATCTCTGAAAATGCTCAACATGATTTGATAAAACACCACCTTGCATGGGTTTCTTCTTCATGCTGAAAAAGAAACTCCATTCCAAAACCCTTTAAAGAAACTTTCTCTCATTTTCAATCAACTTTTCAACACAAAAATATCATTCTTGTATTTCATCACTTCAAAGGGAGCAAAACAAGTTGGAATTATAGGTAAAGATCATTCAGTTCATCCCTTATTTCTTGAATTAATCTTGAATACATGCTGAAAATAGATGTTGAATCCGGATATGCATCTCCATACGAAGTTAGGTGTGTTCCGGAAGTGCATATCTGAATAGTTCTGTTAGTATGAATTTTAAAATTGTTTTTGTTGTTATTGATGGTAATATATATAGTGCACTCAGATATATTTCCCGAAACAATTGTGAGTGTGGATGTTAAATCGGTCGAAGTGAAGTATGATGTTAAATCAGATGAAGTGAATGATGATGTTCAATCGAATGAAGCGAATGATGATGTTAAACTGGGTGATTACTTATTGTTTCCTAGGTATATGTTTGTGCACACTTTACAAATAAAGAAATATTTATTATTCGTGAGCATATGTGTTAAGTGCTAATTTTGACTTAAATTGAACCATCTTTTTTGACACTTTTCAACTCAATTCTTATGTTTTAATAAATTTATTTCTTGTTCTTGTGTGATTCTTCAATTATATTGCAAATATCTTTGGATTCTTTATTGTGTGTGTTATTATGCAGAATATAGGCATAAAACATCAATGATTAAGACACAAAGGAGTGGACAAGGAAGGCAAAAAAATGAATAGGAATCAGCATGTTCGTTGTGCGAACACCAGCGTGCAACCAGTGAATATTTACTGAGCGAAGTCTTGGCGAAGCCCCAATGAACCAACTCAGATTAGAGGCAGTAGGAAAAGGATCCAAAGTTCGTTG